TTGTCTGCTTGAGCGAGGCATTAACTGCATTACTCCTCGGTTACGCTAGCAAATACGGACTATGGGAGGTTAGGAAACAGGCGGCGGGAGTGCGACTTCGAGAATGGTCGAAGGACACTCAATAGGCCAGGACCAGTTCCTATGCGGAGGATGCGTATTCTCATGTCGGCTCAACTATGGTGAGGTGCAAATAAGGCGTGACACTGGATTCGCAAGTTTCACAGCTACATGCCCTTACCGATCTCTTCCCTAAAGCTTGAAGTAAGGCGACTAACGCTAGTATTCATCTATGCTATGTTCCCGAAGCGATTGCTAAGCAGTCCTTTTCATCTCTAGGCGCGTGTGTGCGTAGCACGAGACATATCGAAGGTACATTCAAGGCGCATGGGCGAAGTACTCACGGAATGGCCACATTTAGCGACAAATGAAATTTTCGAATCGCACACCGTTTCATAGTCACAACCACGGTGGTCACAACCCAGCACGCGCGAGTCCGTGGCTTTAGAAAGCGAGCGAAGCTTCTGCAAGCCGCGAACTCACGAATCGCACGAGCGAACAAAATGGCAATGGACAGTACCGACTGAAGCCCTTTTTTGGAATGGTCTATGCTCCCGAATACCCTATAGTTAGGCTAGCGCTTTTAACAGTCGTTAAGCCAACGACAGTTGACTCAATCGCGATTACACGGCGGCGCCAACTGTCATTGAGCCGCTAACGATCTTTGATAGCATCTTCGATCGACTCGCGCTGGAAGTTCCCCGAAACCAGGACAGTGCACAGCGCTCCTCGGTCGTGCAATGCGAAGTCGATGCGACATCGAGGACAAACTGCGCCGCGCCGGTGCACCGCAGCGACCGCCACCTTGCATCAACTCGTGTCTTGTTTGTTTTTCTTGCGTGCGTCTGCGCGCGGCGCCCGTCTGCTGTCAATTTCTCCTGGTTGTTTACCCGCAGATTTAGCGGTCACATACAAACGAACATCGTGGACGTAATTGTCGATGGGGTCACGAAGCTGGAGACAATTCCACAGGTATATTTTGCCCCTCGTTGTTGGTTCAAGAAAGAGAAACACGAGATAATAGCCGTACCTTATGTGCCGTCGAAACGCCTCGCAAGGCTTTCCACGAAGTTCATATTTTTTGGGCGCTCCTTGCCAAGGCAGCAATCACCGGTAATCGCGGTGATGGTTAGAAGCTCGGGAACGCGACAGAACAGCATACGACAAAACAGCACGCGACAAAACTGTACGATAAAAACAGCACGCGTCAAAACAACACAGCGTCAAAACAGCGTGACGACAAAACAGCACGCGTCAAAATAGCACGCGACAAAACAGCACAGCGTCAAAACGGCACAGGGACAGAAGAGCACGTGCCAAAACAGCACGGCGTCAAAACAGCACTGCGACAAAACGGCATGCATGTAGCAACTTTGAGCGCGCTCTCTTCGCCTCTCTCTGCACGAATAATTATGAACCTTCTTGACCCTTTCATTTTTTGTCGCTAAAATATAAAGGAATTGTTTATTTCAGTGCTTGCCAAATTCCGCAACTCGGAAACCCCCCTCCCCCTAAAAAAAATATATATATATTAAAATATCGCGTCACGACCCCCGCTTGCGCTTTTCACGAGGCTACAAGTGTCAGTTTTAAAGATAAATATTAGTAGCAGTCTACAGAATAAAATGTATGCTGAAACTAGCTAAACGTATGACCATAAAAAAATACTGATGGCAGCAGTTGCTTCGCGAGCCCCCACTGGATCTGTCGGACCCACAGTTTGGAAGGCATGAAGTTGGTAGTGAACCACAATTTGTCAGACTATATTGCACAACAGGCAGTTACCTATCGGCGTCCAGCGTAAAGCATTCCCGTAAGGTGACAGAAGGAAAGCTTTAAACAATCAAATGCAATTGTTCGAACCTCTTTTAACAGCGAAGCTGTTGTGCGTAGGTTTGTCGGATTTTCCCTTGTCATTGATAGTAAGCAGAAAAAAAAAAGGTCAGTATTAACTGAAAAGCTCAGTATTTCGAGGGCGTTTGGAGAGGTGGGGGGGGGGGGGGGGGGGTGACTCATTACTGATCCCTATGACTACTTCCTTTCGCAGTTTCTACCTTGTCACCGAGATCAGTTCAACTTTTAACAAAAGCTCAGGGGCCGCAGGAGTCTTCAGGACGAAATCTGGGTTTTTCACCTGATAGGAATTTGTGTACCGAATTGTTTGTTGAACGAAGAAAATCAAAACGTGAACTGAACAAGAAACAAAAAGTGGAAAAAAAAGTTAAGGGCATCCGTATACGTCGCACATTTTTAACACCTTTAGCTTCCGTCTACTAGAGGAGGGCTTAAATACGATTGCTTTATTGTCGTTTCTGTGGTCGGAGCGAATTTAACATCTCTCGCAGTCATGAAAATGGGGGAAAAACGCACTGAGTACAATGCTTACACGTTTCTGGATTTTGATATTTGGCTCTCCGACCGAAGTGGCAGTGAAGCTCATGTTCGTCCTGTGTACAAATACGAGCACACGACGATAATGTGAGATCACGATACGGCTCCAGTGCGTCTTGCAGAACAGGTCGCGTCAGCTTCTACAGACGGTAACAAATAAGAAAACCAGTACCTGGTTTACTTACTATATATATTAAACAGAAACTTTTAAATATTGCAGTTTCGTCGGTATGCTGGTTTTCGACAATAAACCGAAAATAACCGAGAAGTTTGAGTCTATAAATATTCACCACAATAAACCGAAAACTTGTGTTAATAAAACCGAAAAAAGTACGCCGAATTTCAAAATAATAAAAACCGAAAACGCCAAACCTGCCTTGTTTTGACGCTGTGCTGTTTTGTTGCGGTGCTGTTTTGACGCCGCGCTGTTTCGGCAAGTGCTCTTCTGTCGCTGTGCCGTTTTGACGCTGTGCTGTTTTGTCGCGTGCTATTTTGACGCGTGCTATTTTGACGCGTGCTGTTTTGTAGCCGTGCTGTTTTGACGCTGTGCTGTTTTGACGCGTGCTGTTTTGATCTTGCTGTTTTATCGCGTGCTGTTTTGTCGCGTGCTGTTCTGTCATGGTGCCAAGAAGCTCGCCGTTTCGCTCTCAGAAGAGCTGATGAATTCATCAAGTGCGGCTGCGAGGCGTGTTCGTTTTCGCAATGTCGCCATCTCGATAGACTGCGCGTCTGCTATTACCGCCATCTCCTCGATTCCCGCTTCTGGCCGCAATGCCTGATAGAACTGCGCCCCAGCACACCATCGATTTTTTTTTTTTTTTTTTTTTTTTTGCTGCGCGTTGGGGCAATGAGGAGTGAGCCGCACCGGGAGTGTGTGCTCCGGTGATCGAGGACGTCCGGTGCGCACCGGTGAGGATAAACGAGGATGCTATGAGTTCGATTGAGCTGGCCTACTTCAGGTAACTTAAGGGTGATCGCCCCAATAGACCTAAAGATGGCGGGGTCCGCCGCATCGCTGCCCACGGCCAGCGCGAATCACTTACTATGGCGGAAGAATGGGGGATGTACCTAAAATGTATCGTAGCAGGAAACATCGTCGGAAGAGGCATGATTTGGGTACAAAGCTGTCGCTAAAAAGATCACTGCACGTCGCGGAAGCCCCACGCTGGGCGAGGGCGGCCATTGTGAAGTCGGTGCTGATAAGATTTTTGTTATGTCTCTTCTGCTTGCATTTTGTAAAACGTTCTGATTATCGCTTCCTGACTCTAAAAATAAAAGTAAGTTTATTTCATTTTGTTTTAAACATTTATAATGAATGAAAAATGTGTATAAGATTATTTTGCATCGCTATTTAGAAAAGATAATGTGACATCAGTTTTGGTTTCGTTTCGGTTTCAAATGTGTTCCTTGACGCGCGTCTCAACTGGGGTTGTTAGGCGGCCTATGTATACCGTGTAACACCGGACAACTTAGCTGAGCTCAGTGAAAGTTGGGCGATGCCAACGTTCGTTAGCTTAATGACAGGTGAGAGCGCTAGTGTAACTAGGGTATAAGACTGGCTCACATTTGTGTCAGTTGTGCTGGCAGCAACCGAAACGACGGCAACGACAAAGTCACCGGGTCAAGTGTTGGCCTTACACAACCTGGCAAACGATCCAAGAGTTTCCTTCTTGAAGCACTCCTGAGTTACGGTTATCAATTTTTTTGGTCGTTTCTCTCGTTTTGCTTGTGAACGCAACCATCGCAAATGTGTGAAGTCACTGGTTCCTGGAAAAGTAGCGTCAAGCTCCCTGTATGGTCGCCATTTTGGTTCATAGAATGAGCAGTTTCTCCTCGACCTCTCCATTTTTGGTCAGCCGATCCAAGTTCCCGGTCACATGTTGCTTTATAAAGCTATCTTTAGAATATTGAGGTTTTGTTATCCGCACACCGGCGAAACAGGTGCACATCTTCGCACCGGCACGAGATGCGGCGTCGATGCTTGCCGGCATTGGGAAATAGTTTCCTCCGTCTTGGAGTACACAAGAACAACAATACCGTTCAAAGAGATCTATCGAGATAAGTACGATTATCAAATCGATTGCACGCACAGTGTCAAAGGTGCTTACATTGGCGAGGAACGTTTTCGGTTCGATGACGCTCCACAGCGATTTTGGCGCGTCTGGCTCAGAACGACCCTTTCGAAGCTTCGAAAATTTGAATGGACCGAAATAGCAATTGCCACGGCAACTGAGACCGATCTGCCAATCGCCTTGCGATGTTTTGGGTGTCTGTGTGTTAGTATATGTTTGCATTTTGCGAGCTGGCAGGGTAGGCAATGGCGCTACTTTCCCAGAATTCAGTGCCTTTAGTTTGAACTATACTCTAGTTGGAACCAGCCTCTAGTAGCTGACAGGAATAGAACAGAAGGGAGGGGCCGGTCATCCCGAAAGAGACTCTCTGCCATTTTCGTGCTGCCAATCACTACCAATGAAGCAATCCTTAAAACGGCCGAAAATCTTGTTTTCGGATATCAGTGGTCGCGGTTTTGATCGCTCGTTTCCCGTTCGCAGGAATGGAGCCTGCTGCCCTGGTACTGTTTGCCGGCGCGTGGGATCCACAGCACGAGCCTCTCGGAACCCGTGGCAGGAGGTGAGTGTGTGTGGCACTCGGACGGGAACCTGGTGGGCGACGGTGACTCGGTGACGCTGGGGAACATGGAACCAAGTTCCATCACTTGCACGCTGTCAGGCTTTCTGATAACAGCTTCGACTTGTGTCGGTTTTCAATGACTCGTCATACATTGTTCTTGGTTTACACTTCTGGACATCACATGGATACCGAATGACCCTGGAAGGGTACAGCAGTTGCTTTAGCTCACGCACTCTTCTGTCCCAGGTAATGTTTTTGCTGCGAATATCCTTTTGATTGTCTCATTTTATTGGGCGAGGTTATAGTAGCGCACGACTGATGAAGTTTTAAGACCAAAGCAAGCTTTCCTTATGTCGACGTGAAGCGTCTGCTGTTCGTTCGCCTTGCTCGAATAAACGGCGCGGAAGTGAAGGGGAGAAAGAAGATTAGGTGCGGTGTGAGGTAGTGTTCAGGTGCGCGACGAAGCTTTACCCTCGGAGCTGCTCCTTGGTTCGGACCAGACATCTCGGCCGTGATTTTTATTCTCGTTGGAAAGCGTCTGGTAGTTGTCAGTCAAGAAAAACAACGTACCTTTCGAAGAACTTTCTCTCCCCTTTCTCGATGGCGAAGTCCTCGTTCGTAAAAAAACGGGTAGATTTATGAATGCCGTAAAAGGGGGTGAACAGCTATTGGTACGACTAGCGGACGACGCCGGCGTTCGGCACCCCAACGCAAAATCTTGATCTAAAGGAGGTCACGCGTTGCTGCTACGCATTGGGTACGGTGGTGTCAGTGCGCCGACCTTATATGGGAAGGATAGGGGTAAACACAAAGGCTAGCTGCCTCTATTTCATTCTACCTATTGTTTCCCTCCGATCAGAGTGGGCAAGACCGTCGCCTACTCTCTCCGAAGAGCAATAGCACGCTTCTAGGAATCCGTAGATATTTTTTTGTATACTGGAATTAGCTCTTGAAACAGCTGCAATTTAAACTGCCCCCCCTCCCAAATAAATAAATAAATAAAAAACTACGGGTCCAGCATCGCTGCTCTTCGCGCATGCGCACTACTCCCATGACAAGGTTTCCAAGGTATCGCGCGCGTTTCCTTCAATCGACGACCGCACGGAAACTTTTTCTCGGTTTCGTGCCGTGGGACGATATCCGGGCGGCCTTCAACGGCCATCCGGATATCGGCGCCATGCCTGCGGCCCCGTCCGGTTGACGTCTCGTTCCCTGTGTCTCGCAGAGGTGACGGTGGTGTACAAGCAGGGTCTCCCCGAGATCACGGTGCCGCTGCCATCTCGGCGGCAGAAGTGCCGCTTCACGCTGCGTCCGCTGGGAAGTACCGTGAGCGACTTCATGAACAGCGTCTGCCGCGAGGACAGGGGCGTCGACCACATCAGCGTCTGCTCCCCGGGTCAGCAGTCCTCCTCCTCCTCCCTTTTTGGGGGATTTATAAATCATATGGATAAATGCATGCGGCTGAACCCTTTCCATTGGGTGGGGGCTCGCGCCCTTAGCCAGTACTTTTCATAACACGTGCCTTGTCCTTTTCTGCGGTTTCAGACGGGGTCCGGATTGCTTCCTCTTCGACCATCGAATCTCTGCTGAGGGAGAGTTTCTGTCTCACCCTCAACAACCAAGTGTACCTGGTGGAGCCGCCATCTATAGGTGAGTTTCTCAGTACCGGCGCCTGTGCCTCCCGCCCGTCTTAGCGAGGACGTGATCGCTTTCCCTCCTCTTAGTTCGGTTTGTGTTTTAATAGACATTTTCTCAGAAATCTCCGAAAGGTCGCGAGAGAAGCGGGCAGCGAATTATGGGAACGTCCTGTACGCTCCTCCTCGCACCCGTAGCTTCCGCCACGCTGCACTGGAGAAAGCGAAAGAGGGGGGGGGGGGGGGGGAGGAGGGGGGGAGGGGCGACGTAGTTGTTCGCCTGCCCTCTCCTGCGCGTCGTCGACCCTAACTGGATCCGCTATTCTGTAAGATAATGAGTCGCGGTGTGCTCTCTTACTTTTGCCCTGTAGCACGAGTTTGGCACAAGCGTTCTCGAAAACAGTCCTACGCGCTACTGCAAAAAACACGAATATGTTCTTTCCGATGCATGTTTTAGTTCCCTTCGGCCTTCCCCACCTGGGATGTAACTCCAGTGCCAGAGTCCCGATGCTACTCTTTAATATGGATTTTTCAGATGATCAATAGTATCGCAGATGCTTGAACGGTTTCTTAAGTATTGGCAGCGACGCTTATCTCCGAAGTCCCATATTCCATGCATACGCACAGTACTTAAGAAGGGGGTGTTTACATTTGTTCAGAAGACATTAGGCGTCACGTAACGTTATGGTGTAAGTCGTGGTATCTCGTGATTACCACGTCACGTTACGTGACACGGTGTCACTGCCACTGTGACGTGGCGCTGCCGTGTAACGTCTAACGCCGTTGGTTTTGCGGGGACGCACGGGCGGACAAATGTCGGGGAGTAGGGGCTTCCGTTGTAAAGAACATTGTCCTTTAAAACATATATGATAAGTCTATACCATAGGCCCTGTTGATAGATGTTCTCCCAATGCTGTTTATTTTGGAATCTGGTGACGTACATATTCTGGGCAGCGCACAGGCTGCTGCGGACGCATGTCCTAACATTTTATAGATGTGCCGTGGGCATTTACGAGATATTTATGCCACATGAGTACGGTCCTGTACAATGCTGCTACGTACCCTGCTTTAGTGCTCTGGTGTCACGGTGCCTGCTCGCTTCTCCCTCGGCACGGGAGTACGGTGGCGTAGCCATACCCGCGAAGTAGAAGACTTGGGAAGTAATTCATTGCTTTTTCAAGTACTAATTGTTACGTTACAATTACACAAGGGTCATTTGTTACGTAACTTAATTGAAAATGTTTATAATAAGTCACTTTCATAAATTTTATTATCGACATACGGGAATTAAAACGCTACGATCCGCTCATATAATAGACGAACAGGGGGATCGGTGGCCGAGTGGGCTAGCGCTCACCAGCTTGGAGCACTTGGAGCGAAGATTCGCGCTACAGAACCAAGGCATTCTGGGTTCAATCCCCAGCCCTGCCAGTTTCGATTCGGAGGAGCATCGTACCGGCCTGCGGCCGTGTATCACTACAGCGTGGTGCACGTTAAAGACACCAGGCTAGCGGTTGTACTGCACTGGCTAATTTGCTCATATACAGCTGGAAGATAAGTCGCCCGTTGAGGCAGACTAAGTTCTAGGCTCTATAAACATACACCCATCCCAATTTTGTTTTTAACAGACGAAGAGCAAGTTTAAACAAAATAGAAAATATCCTGCAGAGAAGGGTAAAAACGCGACAAAATACAAGAGTTTAGACAAACGTCTATCCTCATGAGCCTAGTTTAACAGCAGGCACTTCTTAAAAATGCTCTTGGCTTAAAAACAACAACAACAGCAGCAACAACTAAGATGCGAAATACAATTGCGTTGACCCAATATTTTTTTATCGCGTTATTTTGGGCGGAGTTGGGCAAGGTAATGCAATTTGTATGTGTGTGTGTAACTTTCATTGGTTTTTTTTCCCGGCCTCCACAGTCATCCCTGTCACCTCTGTGACGGGGGTGACTGAGACTGCGCACGATAAAATCCCACTGCGGCGAAATGACAAAACTACAGCCGGCGCCGGAAGTTACGTTTGATTACAGACTGAACGCAAAAAGAACCAAATAACTAACGCTGAAATTTTATAAAAGCATGGAGCATGTAAAGGAGAAAAAAAACTTTATGCTCATGTCGCTTCCATAAAAAGAGGAAACTAGCAAAATCATGCCAACATACACACAAAAAAGAAAATACAGAACAAAATCCTGTACAAGTAAAATATAACAGGTACCGCGCTTGGTCCACTACATACGCTTATTTACATAACTGGATGTACCGAATATATTCTCTCTTATCTTCCTTTTTGCATATTCTGTCGGAAAATAACTGCCATACCTTATGCTGTTTTGATCGAATAATATCTCGTCGATGTAGAACACTGACAAATACAAATGTGTTCGATCTTTGGTGATGCTTATCACCTTAACAACGCACTTTTTGCTTCGGTGTTTCTCTACGAATAAGTATCTTGGTGGTCCTATAATGTCCACCGTCCCTTGGAAAGTTCACTACGAATATGTGGTTAGCGGTGCTAACCGTATGTTAGGATACTTAAAAAGAAACATCTTCTTATCCATCCAAAATTACAATATGGTGCTGCCGTGTGTGACCCTAGTCTTTCAACGCTAGTCACTTCAAATGAATCCATCCAAAATCGTTCGGCACGATTCATCCTGTGCAACTGTTACCGTACAGGGATCTTTACTACCACGAAAACTTTTTAGATCTGAAATTTCTAGTCCACTCCCCCAAAATCGGTTGTTTGTGCCTTAAAAAATATATATATTTTATCTTTCGTTAGTCATAAATGTATAAATCAACCATCCGACATTTTTCTTGCTTTTATCACAGCATTCAGGTCAATGTTCATCATTTTAAAACGCAATCTTTTCAGTATTTGTTTGTACCCCAAACTTTGAATGGTTGGAACCAACGTTTCTCTTCGATCGCAACCATCACGGATATTTTTTTTTTTTTTTTTGTTTAAAATTGCTCTTACTAATATGAACACTTCGTAGATTTGAAGCTCACTCTCCTTTTCGATGTACTACTTCGAGGGTTCCTAAGTGAACAAATAAGTAAGTAAAGCAATAAATAGGGAAAGTCACTTTCAGGCTTGGTACAAGCGCCATCGAGCGGCATTCTAGACACTGCGTTTATTTGAAAATATTTTGCTAGTTCAGAAAAAAAAAAAGTAAATTTGTGTTAGGTTACATTTAGCATTGGGGCCTCGTTGGTTGCCATACTGGCCACTAGAAAAGAGCGGAAATTGGTTATTAGTTAACTGAGTACTTAAATCGTCTAACTATATTTCTTTCATCTTTTTACTTTCAGGGGAAGGGGCATTGTATTCGGGGAATTTACGATAATCCTCAATTCTGTAACGAGCGCTATGGAGTGATTAATGTCGGCCTTGTACACGGCTTCAGAGCAAAACTAGGCGGGCACCAAACGGCGCTATCGCAGTCGGCTTCGTTTGCGGAGTGGACCGGAGGGCGGAGGAACCGACTCCGCTGGCGCTCTTTGCCCGCTTTGTTTTGGTGGAAAGCCGTGTAGGAGAGGCTAGCATTACTCACCCAGTTGGTCCCGTTGCGAATTGTTATTTAAAAATTTAGAGGCACGGCCAGACCGTTTTGCGACCGAGCGTGAATTCTGCAAATACATTACCCCCCCCCCCCCCTACCCCCCGGCAAAAAAAAGGAAGTAATTGTTATTTAATATTTTGATGCTAATCAACTATTTTTGCATTTTCCCTAGTGTTTCCCATGGCATCCAAATTATCCCCAGGAGTCAAAATGCCCTAACGCAAATTTCAATTTTATCTATAACAAAAATCTCGATTGACTAAAAAAGGTTTCCTGCAGTGTATATGGTAGGTAATATGAAGTGGTCTGTTCCTTTTTTAAGGCTGCTAGACTCTCCAGAACCTTTATTTATTGATGATTTCTTTCTCTCTTTCTATGGTTAGGTTACGATTTCACAAGCGTTGTGCGCCGTAAGTTATGACTATCATGTCCGACACCTCTCATTATATATAAGTGACATTAAAAAGTGTTCATAATTAAACTAGTGGCAGTATACTTGGGTGATTTCAGATAAGATCGACCAAAGGATGGCTAGTCGACATTTTCAAATCAACTGATGTTTTTATATGTTATTGTCTAGTGTCTGGTATGAACGAATCCAAACTTAGTTTTGACTAGAAAAAATACTTGGGGACAGGAAAAATCGTAAGGCATGAGGTGGTGGACAGTTGCATTAACGCGCACTGATTGAGGGGGCCCGTTTGAGAGTGAATAACTAAAGCGATAACATTAGGAGAACTCTAATACGTTTTAGGCGCAAACTATGGGTATAGCTTGCTTGTAATATAAAGTAATCATATTTATTTAAAATTTATTTATTTTTCTAAAAATTGACAAACATGCCTGCTCGAACGACAAATGGCAAACTTTGGAGGTCTGTATCTCATGAAATAATTTAATCATTATGATATAATTTGCAGATATTATTCTACTAATATATAGCTAATATTTAAAAAAATAACTAAGGTATCTGTGTGATACAATAGTTAGGATATATTTAGTCAAACATGGAAAAAAGAAATCAAACAAAGAAAAATTCCGATGCGAATAAAAAAAATAAACACCACCCTCGATTTTTTTTAAATTGAGGTAACCTGTTATACTCTATTTCGGCATTCATTTCCATTAAAAACATGTTGCATCATTTTATTGAGAAAGAAGATACAACTCCCCAAAGTAGGGTCCTTTTTCAAAGCCTACACTTAGCAGTGTTTTATACAAGAACTGACTCTGAGTTCCAGTTTCATGAAACCAACACACATCTTTTATATATTTTTATTCAGATGAGGCCAATGATAACTAAAGAAATCGTTCACACACTTAAATTAAGGAGAAACTACTGTGTACAAAGAGGTATCATATTACGGACTAGTGATCCGAGAGAAGATCATGCAGCCATCGGCCACTAGGAACTTTGTTTACTTTATTCTCCTGCGACAC